ACCTAACGCCGTTCATGAAAAGTAGACAGCAACGAAGGAGTCTCTGTACAGTGGGGCTGAAATCGTCAACAGTCTGTTTTAAATATAAAATTGTTAGCTATTTAGACTCTATTCATTTATAATTGTTGGTTAAGTAGACGAAACAATAAAAGTGCAAGTAAAATTCAACATAAGAAATAACACGGTAAACTCTCCTATGTCAACATACTTTCTTACAAGAATTAAGTTTTCTTGTGTGTTCTGAAAAATGATTCTTTTAGAACTCAGTAGATTATTTAACTTAATTATCCAAATTGCTGCCCTTTAAGTAAATGGCATCTTTATGCAAGTTAAATTTCAGCTGCTTCTTTCAGTAGTCGGAGACTGTATACTGCTCTTGAGATATTTTCTGAGACTTTTGGCTAAGTTAAAAAGAAAAAAATATACATAAAAGTTTGAGAGCTTTAAGATTTTACATAACGCCCGTTGAGGCGTCTTTTTTAACGTTTTGTGTGTCACCTTTATTTATTAAATATCATGTTCTTCACACTTAAACCATAAAATCAAGTTCAAAAGTAATATCGCAAGATAATTTTAAAATGAGCATAGCTTTAGAATTTTCGATACACAGTCTCGCGAGCTGGAGATTAAAAAAAAAAAAATTCCCGCGTACAGTGTTGCCTTCGTTCGCTTCGAAAGCGTTAAATTTGTTAATAAAAAATTCGTTAAAGTTTTAATTCGTTAAAATATGAAATAGATAATAAAAAAGTTCCAAATTCGGGCTTCCAGATGCCAATATTCGTGTGGAAACGTACGTTATTTAAAATTTTATGGCTCTAGGTACCTTTGTTTTATCACAATGCGAAAAACACACATACCTTTAAGCAGATTCTTTATGATTTAATTTCTTTAAATATAATACAGGGATCTAATATTTGGTGGCACCAATCTGAAAAGTCAGCTGACATTTCAGCGCAAAATTCCAAAACGAAATTAATAGGCCTTCTAGACAAATTGCCCCTTTGGACTAAAAAAACCTTATTATTTACTCAGTTTCCTATTTGTGTATATTTTCATATTTATAGATATCTTAAGAACCTTCATTCAAGAATTATTTCAGACTGATGCCATGAGTCAGAGTAAATATTGTAACATATTATTTTTGACAGTCTCTCGTTCCGCAATAATCTCTTAAAACTTTCTAAAAGTCTTTATTAAAAAATGCTTCTTTATTTCTGATTAAATTAGCTCTACAAATGATAAGTACTGATGTAACAAGTGAATGAGTGTATGATGTAACAAGTATGAAGTATTCAAATTTTGAAAGTAAAGATGTCGAAAGTGATATCTGAAGAAGGTTCTCAATAAAGTAGGTAATTTATTATATATTTATAGAACTTGTTTAAGTAAATAAAAATGCTTCTTGTTTTTCGAAACTAATTATAAAATTATTTACTTTTTTAAACCATAAGCGGCTTTTTGGTCTCGAAATGGGATTTTGCGTAGTTCACTATAACCGGATAGTCACTTTTCAAATTTCTGCCGCCAAATATTATCGCCCTGTATTATTTTTAAAGAAATTATGCATTAACGAATCTGCATGTATTTATGTCTCTTTCATTGTGAAAAATCGATGGGAACTAGAGCCATCAAATTTTGAATAACGTAAATCTCTACCCTAACATGTGCATCTAGAAGCCTGGAATTTGAATTTAGAAATTTATATTTCATATTTTGTGAAAATTTAATGAATTTTTGATTAGAAAACTATATATAACGTATATATACATATATACATATACAGATTCTTCATTATTAAATTCTTTAAAAATAACACAGGGACTAATATTTAATCTCAACAATTTGAAGAGTGATAAAGCCGTTTATAGCGTACGACACAAAATCCAGTTTCCTGACTAACGCCCTTTTTGGCTAATAAAAAGGCAAAGAAAACTTATTAGACTTTTTACTAAGAAACCTGAATATTGATAATAATGAACTAAGAAATGACTGAAAAAAATATTTAGAAAATCTGATGTGTGCACCACATGACTTCTTTGTACGGAATATTAAATTACACGCTTTTTTTATTGCATTTAAATTAAACTTTTTTCATTTAAGTCTACTTCGTCGATAGCGCATAAACCTCAATAGAATAAATGCACTCTTTAAAATTCACCATATTTTTTTTTACCATAACGACACTCTGGCACTGTTCACTTAACAGCGTTATGTCTAATCTATTTTGTAACTCAGAATGCGTAAATATTATACCATCTGAAGAATTATCTAATTGTTGCCACATGTTCTATTCAAAAACTATATTAAATCAAAAAAAAAAAAAAAAAAAAAAAAAAAAGAAAAAAGAAAAAGAAACAGTTTTTCCACAGACGATTCAGTAGTTCTTATTCACTTAATTCAATTCTCACTTTACGACAAGTCAAAAATACATAAAAACTCAAAATATCTCTATTAAAAATTACGAAGTAAATCTTAAACACTTGTTTCCTCGAATAAATTACAGAATGGATCAAGCATTATTTAATTCGCAATAATAAAAGAAGGTCATATCTTTGTTTTTGCAAAGCTTATTTTCTCTAGATTGGCAACAAATCCACTATTCTGCTAAGTTTAAAATGTAAACAAATATGGCTGCTATGGTATAAGTAACTAGGCTTAGTCGCACTTGAACAACTTTTAAATTGTTGATAATTCTACACAAATATTGCATGCCGATTTACTAAAGGCATAAAAACTTTAACCGGAAGATAAGAACAACATAATTTTAAAGCAAAGAATGCGCAATTTACCAATATATAAGAATAAAAAATAGAGCTCACTGAACCGAGTAACAGATTGAATAAATATATATATATTTATATACTTTTGGTGCTGCCGATTGCAACCAAAAAGGGCGGCGCACATGTACATGTTATAGCAGTCCTTTATACAAAATTTCAACGTTCTGAGGCTACTTGTTTTTCAGTTATGCGAGATACATACATACATACATACGTACGTACGTTCTGGCACCATCAAAAAAAAAATCTCTCCTGAATTCATTTTAAATCAGTTTTATAATTTGTTTGGTGAAAAAGAGTCCTTTATTCAGTCCTTACGCACAGATGGCAAGTAAAAACATCGTTCAATTGTATTCGACAGCGGTCAAAATGGATATTTTCGTTGAAATGTGATAGCGTAAATTTTTTGCGATTACAGTACTTCCTTTTCACTTCGTACAAGGAAGTAATATTTGCCAACACTCATTGTCTGAGACCTAATCTTATTACTTCAAACAAATAATATTCTTATTTGAGTAATTTTAAATGTTTTTCAAGTGCTCATATTTACAGTGAAACCACAAGAAATAAACGATACAGTTTTATATGATTTATATCTTCTGTAAAGGTTGGATTATTTTATTACTTCAAAACACATTTGAACTAAGCGTCTAGGGAAATGGATGTTTTCCTGGAGAACATTGTAAAGGAAACTGGCTCGTGTTCACGCTATGCGTGTAGAAAAAAACCCACCAAAATGCTCAGGTATTCAATCGTTCAGCGGGATTTTAACTCAGGATCGAATTACCATTGTCTAGCAGTTTTATTTTCTCCGTCAGTAGGCTAAAAATCTGGGTTATTTGCGATGTTCGATACCAATACCTATTTATATTTCCAGAAAAACTGCCAGCTTTTAGAGGAGGTTGTCATGAGAGGCTTTGCTGTCATTGTTATCGGAATGTACGCTCAGTAAGCGAAATTCAGTTATTAATATTACAGATTTGAAAGAAACATGAGGGTTTCAATTATGGCATAAATATGACTCCTATTCATTTTTTAGTTTTATTCTCGGATTGTTTTTCAGAACTTTATATCTTTCTAAACACAGTATTTAATTGAAAAATTTGCCATCAGATAATTATTCGTCATCAAAATATTTCCTTTCAGAAATTAAGTTTTTATCCACCGTGTTTGTATTCTATAACACTTCCATAGATCGTTTTAAAATTTTTCGCAGGATTTGGTTGTCAGGTGTGTAAAGCAGTATTTTTGCCGTGGACCTCGCCAGCTTTCTAAAACCTATATATAGAATGCGCGGATTCTCTAAAACGTATATCTAGTGATTAATTGATTATTGAATATATATCCGATCTCCAAAAAAATATCTTCATGACCATGGGCAATGGCTCTATGAAATTTCATATGAACTGTATTTTCTAAAATTCTAGTATATTTACGGAAGTGGGATATTTTCCGGAACATATCCTGAAGAATGACACTGTATTGAAATGCAGAACTATAGCCATATATATGTAGCATATATGCAGCCATATATGTCTATCTGATCACTTTATGCTAAGCTAATCTGAATGCAGGTGGAAACTTACAAAATGCATACAGCAATCAAGGAAATACATTCTTTCAAAAAGTATTTTAGCAGAAGATCTTTAATTACCAGAAACTCTTTAAATAAAATATTAAAAAAGATAAAAAAATCAATAAATTTATCATTAAAGTTTATATCATTTCATTATTCGATAATTTATTTTCATTAATGTCATGACTTTCGCCCGCAGAAAAATAAAATACAGTATGTTCTTATGCATATATACGATTATTTAAGTTAGGTTACAAAAATAAAATGGAATTTATTTACTCCTACTAGCTATTTTCATTATTATTTTCTAATAAAAACTGATATTACTATTTTTAACAGTATTTATATAGAGCTAATTTCCCCAAAACGCATCATAAGCTTTAAAACGAAGTATAAGTTTTTGCTTGAAATGTCGTCAATTTTTATCATAAATTTATTCATAAATTGTTATCATTATTCATAAATGATAACAATTTATGAATGCAAATACGCACTCATAAATTGTTTTTATTCTTGACCTTTTTTAGCGTTTCATTTATAAATTTGGGGATTTAAAATTCTGCGTTCACTTTAGTAAAATTTGCATGCAGAGAGATGCTTACCTCCGCATTTCGGAATCTCATACGAGCTGCGCATGCTCATTATTTAATTAAGTAAATAATAAAGAGTTCCTTGTGCCATAGCTCTTAGTCTGTGCTTACTTGGTGGTGGAAGTTTATCCATAGGAATGAGTCCGTCAGTTGTTTTAATTTGCGTGCTTTCGTTTTCTTGTATCGGAAAATTGACTGGTAAGTTTTCTTTTGTTTTTCGTGTCTGTAATTATATATTTTCGAAACTTTTTTTCCCTAGAGGTTTTTTCGAAATTTAGTTAATTTTAATTACAATTTCCAACAATTCAAATTATGCTGCTTCTAAATTAAAGACTTCAGTTTATACTTAAGAATGAGCACTTCATTTCCAGCAAACTAGTAACTGTATGCTATTGTTTGCAGTTGGTTATAAAATTAAAAACAGCTTTTTTATAATTAACGGGGTGTACAAGTAATAAAAACAAAAAAATGGGGAAAGTGCAGAATCGCCCACAGCTTGGCGCGTTTTTGAGAATTGCACTAACTCTGCAGAGCCGTTGCTAGGGTTTTCAGCGCCCAGGGACCACTGAAGATTTCGCGCCCCCTACTGCTTGCCAAGGATGGAAAACATTTAATTCTAAAATGTCGTAACATCAGTTTGGCGTCCCTTGGATTCTGCGCCCGAGGACAGATGCCCCCCTTGCCCCCCTCTAGCTACGCCCCTGTAACTCTGTATCTATGTATACATCGAGATATTTCCACTTAAAAAAATCCCAGAATTCCATAAAACTAACATTGCGCTCTCCATTCACTTTATACACATCGACCTATTTTCACTTAAAAGTCAAAGAAAATTGACAAAAATCCAATTCTTCTTACTCTTGTAAAAAGCGCCAAACAAATAAGTGGGCGATTCTGCACTTCACCCCGTGAAATTACTGTTTGTTTTACGAGATACTGATTTTGAGGTTATTGCTTAAAACATATATTTAGGAGTTTCTTACATGTGTGTATGTATAATTTGTGATAAGAAGTATTAACTTGTAACAGTTGTGAAGCTCATTTGTATTCAAAATTAATTTCCCGTATTTTATATGAACTACAGTTTAAATACTTTATTTCCTTATTATAGCCCACTGAGAGAACTTTATAGAATTCATTATTTATGTTCCCCGAAATTCGAATTTTGAAATTTTTCTCGCTGTCGTTTGTTATGGAGGCATTCAAACTTTATATTTAAATTATTCAGTTACGTTAAACTTTCGTTACACCTCTAAACTATTTTCTAAGCTGTATTTTTTTGTAAAATGACATGGTAGTTTTTAATCCGCATGTCATGCAAAACAATAGTCCCAGAAATTTAGTGCTTTAGAATACCTTCGATATAACGTACTAAACTTGGCAATGAGTGTAATATAATATTTAGTAGAATTTGAGTTTTAATGAACTTATCAATTCCTCTGACGGTACAGATTTCACTCTGAGTCTAAGTCCATATATAAAAGTGTCCTTGGTTGCAAACTTTCTTAATTGCTTGAAGAGCGGTGGTGGTTGAGTAAACCATTGTTTTCAGATAAACAACTTAATTCATATTAACTGACTAAAACTAAATGGTTAAATAAGATGTTAATATTTAAAATTTGATACGCTAAGACGTAATAAATGTTAATTTAATGCTCAACGTAACAATTAATGTTGCACATTATTTGTTACAGGAAATTATATTTTTAAGCGAATGGATATTTAATATTCCATTGGACACAGAAAGCAGATACTCTTTCACACACAAGAAAATCTTTCTAAAAGCACGTTTGCTTTGACTGTAGAAATCCAGTACAACCGTTGAAAGTAATGTTAATCTCTCTAAATACTTGTTGCATGATTCAAATACTTTAACATTCGCCCTAAAATGAGACTAGAAATAACTTATAAAGATAATGTTAATATGAAATTTCCAGTAAATGGCTTGTTACTTTATATTCTTAGTTTCATAGTAACTGAACTAGTTTAATTTTTCGTTTATCACAAGCTAAAATTATTTCTTTCCTTTAAAATGCTCGCAAGATTCACTAAGATACAATAAACAAGGTTCTTTTGCATTTTGTAGGACTGGAAAGGAGAAACCCACTTGCCTTAGTACAGTTAGTTTTTTTTCAGAGTAGTTTGCGTTCTTGTTAACAGTTTAATACACAATAGCTTTTCGTGGACGAAACTACAAAATTCCTTACAGTTAAGGGGCATCTTGTTCATGTCTATTTTTGAATAGATATTTCGGTTCATTTAGAGGTTAATAGAAATCGCTGTGTGCAGTGATGCATGAAAGCCATTTTATCTCTAAGCTATTCAGTTGAAGTGCCAGAAATTGAGGGTACTGAATTTCACTGCTGATTTATACTTGCTTTTTGTTCAGTATTGCATGCCATAGCGATAAGTATAAATTTAAATCTAAACTAAAATTTAGAGTTCAGCAGTTGAAACATTGAAAGGGGGGCTATCTATCCCAAGCACTTCAATTTTCTTCAAATTTGTTATAGACATTTGTTTTACGAATTAAATCATCTCGCTCAAATTCAGAATTATCTGCTGAGGAAGAGTTGCTTTTTCTAAATTTTTTTTCACAGGATCGCTGACTGGTTGAGACACCTGGCTTTGTTTCGAGCCCAGCCGAACGGGCTGACTGAATAGTTTTAGTAGTTTTCCCCATGTGTAAGCCAGCTTTCCAAGAAAGTATCTGTTGGGTAAATGGCCCTCTTGGCTTTCCCATATTCAATAACCTAACCTCAATAAGTAGGTTGTTCTCATGTATTAGAAACCGAAGTCTATAGATCTTAGACATGGCATGCTTATTTTTAAAATCTGATTGATACGGCAGCAAATGTCTCGAAAAATTAACGTTTGTAAATATTGTAGAGGGGAACCGAATGTAAAAATTAATTTTACTGAGTATTATAGTACGTGAAATTTATTGAGTTACAAAAATGTTTTTATACTTGAAGGCGAATCGTGAAATTTGGCCGTAGTTATCTCGAAATGGAGAAATGAGCTTTATCTAAACTGACGGCGATACTTTGTTATGGTATGTCTTAAAATTTCTCATTCATGGTTCTTGGAGTTAACAATTGTCATCCTGAATATTTGCAGGCTATAAGTTACTTGTTATAAAGCACCGAAATGTACAATGAAATAAATACAAATTAAGATGCATTTCACTGATAATGATTAGTGGGTGCAGGTTTAGACTTGTGCTTTGTCTATCAAGTATAAACCGAACACAAAAGGTGACTTTTATAACTCGAATTTCCGAAATGTACTGCAAGCGAAAGCTTTTGTTTTATTTCGTTCTGCGCGTTTTGTTAATAAGTGTTGGTTACTACAAAATGAACTCCATAGAAATATTTTGATCCCAAAGTAGGAAAGCTTCGGGGAACTGGAAACTTGTTATGCTGACTTCTAGGAAATTGAAACACTCGTACTAATAACTTTTAAGCCATTTCCCGAGCTATTCCTCCTTGATATTAAATTTAGTTTACTGAAATTATTTCACAAAGGCAACGTTAAGAGTCGAGGATTAAAACTGTCTTAAATTAGTACTTATACACAAGTGAGCAGTCTCGCACAAAGATTCTGTAAATAAAAAATTTTGTTCTTGGAATCCAAATTCAAACAGCTACTTGGTAATAAATGTAATTCTTTACTGAATAGTTCTTTGAACATTTTCCTTGCTATTGCTTCTGGACTCTTGAATAAGAAATCGAATCCGCTTAAATGTTAGAAGGTTGATCCCTGAAAAAAGTGCCCCGTGAATGAAATGCAACTCGTAAAGCTAGGATTTTGATCTCAAAGCTCAAAAGAAACTTTTGGAAGTAGGTTAACAAAATTGTACTGCCAGTTCATGATCTAGCAACGCCCCCCCCCCAACCAATGGCCGAGTGATTACTACCGCTAAATGCAGGCAGCTTGTCCTGGCTTATAATCTAGGCAAAAGGACTATCTGCATAGTGGGTTTTTCTTAATGGGTAAAGTGAATACGAGCCAGTTTCCTTTAGAAAGTCTTCCACGAAGGCACCGTTACTGTTAGAGTAATGGCCCTCGAGAGTTGACATCTACATGTAATGCTATGATTATGCTGCTTATAGGTATTAACATTTTCTGAGAACTTCTTACCTCATGGTTTCATTCGTTAAAATACGCAGGCTCTGGTTGGCGGGAATTAACATAAATGACTAAATGTATAACTGGAAAATGTAAACCAAAATTTCAGGACGAGTCTTGAAAATACTGTTGGTATTTTGAATAAATACCATCTTTGTATTTAAAGCAGCATGGATCCGAAAGTTAATTTGATGGATTTGACAAAGCCCGTGCAGGCTATCTGCCGAAGGAAAAACCTTCGTGGAGGGTTTTCTAAGAGAAAATGGATCATATTCACGTTATACATGGAGAACACTCGTGTAGCAAGCCTTCCTGGGTTTCGAATCTGACGAAATCACTAGTAGACTAGAACTAGAAGAGAAACACGCTAATGTGACAATCAAAATCGTAAAAAACCTTATATTTAGTGTAGGTATAATGAAACACTCAATCGATTTCGAGGGCAGCTAAAGGTCCCTCCTCATCAGGAGAAAGAAATACATAGAAAGAAGAAAATAGGAATCACAGAAACACGTGGTGCTTATCAGCACTGCACGTGGTTATAACTAGATTTTTAATCAGAGTTGCACTGGCCGCCTACTTTTACTGAGCCAGGCTGTCTGATCAAGCATAAAGAAATATTAGCGAAGTTAAAATAGGGAGCGAGGGGCAAATGCACATTACGCTCAAAATCTGAACTTCAAATAAATTCGCTAAATATAAGGTTGTTTTTTACGATTTTGAAATCACTAGTACTTATCAATGGTTAGATGGGATTTTTCTAATTTATGGCAGGGCAGGCGCTTCTATTAATAATGAAGCATATTGAATGTTGCAGTACTTGCTGGAAAGGTGAACTTAATCTTCGTACACCTTTTGATACTCAAGTAAAATTGTTATTTTTCTTAAATATTGCATGTGATTTTGTAGTTCCTCATATAATCTTGACTAACTATTGCGATTCTTGTCTAACTTAAAGATCTAAGTAATTAGTCGCCTTCTTTATCCATGTATATTATAGCAAAATTGTTATATTTACGGAATTAAACATCATCGCTCTGAGGATGATTCAGTTCTCATTTATCTTTGACATTCTCATTTTTACTGTTCTATCTGCATTCATTTATGCATTTAATTTTCAGCTCTTCATGACGTAGAACCATGTTCTCCTGACCATCTGTTGCCATGCGATAACGGTAAATGTGTGAATGTATTTCAATGGTGCGATAATTATACTGATTGTGAAGATGGTTCTGATGAAGCATATTGCCGTGATGGTGAGTACTTTAACACTTCAGATGTTTATTTAAGTTGGGAGTAACTGCAGAATATGTAAATTCCCCAAATTGGAATATTTAAAGGGACCTATATCATAATAGAATTTAAGTGTAAAGCTACATAATAACATGAGCTCGATACTACAAATTTCCAAATGTTGCTTTTATTTTGCTTGTGCTTTAAATGTAATGCAACTGATATTAATTCAAATAAAAACGCTACTTTACATTCTTCTAACGATAACGCTGAAAAAAGATGGTTTCCCTTAATTTTGAGACATGGGGGTTTTCTGTCGTAGCAATCCTTTTCTAGAAATGCTTCCAGGTAATGCGTTTAGCAAGTTCCTTCACCCTTTTTAAAGGAAAAAATCCACAATTCGTTTTCGAAGAAAATGTGATATTTTTTAGATTTTATATTGATCAGAAGCTTTCATATTTCCTTACAGCTCGAATGCAACCATTTTGGTACTTGTAAGTTCTCGGGTACGTGACAAATCTTGCACCTTTTGGCGATTTTCCGATCCACCTTTCCGATTCTTGGTTTCCTCTGGATGTTGTCATTCGAATTCAAAATAACAAGTTAGTTGCTACCTCCATTTGAACTTCTTGAAACACAAGTGATGACAAACTTGAAGGCATCCCGCATTTTTCAGTGTCCATTTCATAAACTTAACAATAAGTGTTTGCATTTTAAATACTATAGAACAATTTGAAGGCCTCGTTAAAAATGAAAATTCGAGCCACATGCTCTTTACCTTTGAGGAATTCTGGTAGTGGAGTACCCGACTAACATTGTACTATCTACTTACTTGGTAGGTTTGAGTTTAAAGAGACCCAAGTTTTTAAATCATTTTTATCGGTCTGTTCAATGTCTGATTGCTTAAACAAAAATTTGTTTAAACTAACTAGAGTCGAAGCCAGATGAATTTTCCGTGTTTGCTGTTTCGTCTTGTTTCGAACTTGTGGTTCAAATGAAGTTACTTTCAGTTCTTAAACTATAAAGCTATTGGTAGCCTTGCAGTTTTTAAATATTACTAATATTATGTTGGGATAATACATCTCAAGTTTCCCATTCCTTCTCAATTTAATTTTTTCAAATATTGTGCTATCAAAAGCTATCCGTCACAGAATTCTGAGAAATCTTCATTAATTGGTTAAAGTATTAGTGCCTTCGAATTTGTTTTGCCAACTTTCAATTAAATGAGCAGATTTCTTTTCGAAACTCAAATTCCGTTCCTACTATGTTGCTTAGTGATGTTACCCGATTAAATAATACTTGAAACTCGAAATAGTCTTCGGAAACTTTTCCAATGTTTCTTTGTTATTTGTTCTAAATGAAAAATTGATACTTGGCTATTGTTAAAATCTCTTAATTTTGCTGCATTGTGAATTCTTAAAAAAAGTCAATATCAATCTATCGGGTTTTAGTGTGACACGAATTTACTTTAATATTACAAAAGTTCTGTTTTCTCCAATTATTTGAAAAATTGAAAATCAATGAGATTTTAATTTTATTTCGAAATTGTGGGATCCCAGTGCTCGGAACATTTCAAGTGCAAAGATGGGACCTGTATTCCATTGGTAGCTCGATGTGATACTTTCAAAAATTGTCCTGATGGAAGTGATGAAATTTGTGGTAAGTGTTTTGTTATTGTTTCATATAGTTTGCAGAAAGAGACCTGAATGTTCTTCACAGCTGTTATTACTTATGCAAAATCAAGTATGTAACAATTACTTGTCTTGGTCAGCGTTGGATCTTGTATTCAAGACTGCAGTATGAATTGCGTTAAATGATTTGTTTCCTACTTGAATTTCATTTTAATATCCAGTTAAACCTGCATATGTAAAGCAAACACATTCGTAATAAGTGGAATACGAAAATTTTAAAGGTGTTATTAGTTTAAATTTTGCCTCAGAGATGGAGTTGTAAATTATCGGATGGTATTGATTTTTCCATAAAAATTGCTTTTTAATCTCAAAAGTGAATTTGTGTGTACATCATATCATAAAATAGGACAACCTCATACTTTGTGGTATTCCCAATTTGACAAAGCTGACTTTGTACTCGCAATGAAATTTGCTTGCCTTACACGATTTTTCACTTTTTTCGTGTTAGCATTCAAATTAACAAACTAAAAATGTTCAGATTTCAGACGCTGCATGCAATATCTAAGCTGCAGAGTTTGATAACATTATTTAACAGGTGTTAGTAGGCCTGATGTACAAATTTTGAACTACTTTTGTGATGCTTGTGAATCGCAAGTTGTATGTAATATATACTTTAAGTTTTGATAACATTGTTATTCTTCCCCAAATAAGGTAATTGAATCTTTCTCCTACTACATAAGGGCCAACCGGGGCCGGGTGGTCAAGTCTCAGGACATCGGTAATTCGATCCGGGTTCGAATCCCGGGGAAAAGACTAGTTTCAATGGTGTTTTCACGATTTCTCCATGTGTGACATAGATACAAGTCAGTTTCCGTTAGAAAATCCCTCACGAAGGTATCTTTTCTTCAGCAGATAATTCTTGAGTGCTTTGCCATTATTAAATAAATCTAACGTACTACATAACACTTCTAGCTTTTCCATTACTAGCTGCTAATGCACTAAATTCCTCAATGTTCGAAAATTGAGTAACTTTTAAACAATAAAGCTCCATCTGTTTTGTGTATATGTAACCATCACCGCTACGGTTCAAAAAGTAATTAGGTTTGCCAACCGAGAAAAGTTTCGGTTTAGTTACTTTCAAATTATCTACGACGATAATATTTGGTTAAGGATGGATGCATAGATTCTTAACTTCTAAATCTTTAAGCAAGAATAAGATATTTGGTTATGAAAACTTACACATTTCATGTAGAACTTAAGTTTTATGCATACTTTAATATTTCTGTAGGTCAACTGGTAATAAAAATGGTGAAATACTAAAATTTTTTTAAACACGGGGAATTTCAGTAAAGTTAAAAAATAAATATAATAAGAAAATGGGTTTTTGACATGATTTGAAGCTTTTGTAGGATCTTGGAACTAATCTGATCCTGAGTGTGATACGTAATGACATATTCAAGAGCATTTGGGATGAACAAATTATAAGTTCATAATGTAATTTCGAACAATGTTGTCATTGACATATTTAGCTCAGTAATACAGTTTGTGATTAAAAGCACACATTTCTTGTTTCTCTGGCTATGCCTGCTAAACGTTTCTTAGACATGCCATTGATTATTTAAATTAACATATGGAAAAATTAGGTTCATGCTTTAATAAACACTCTAAAATCGGTTATACTTAATTCTTCATAAGTGTGACTTGTGATAAACGTATGTAGTATTTTCTCTTTCAGAGTCTGTTTTAATGTTCCGTGGTAAGACTAAGAGTCTGTTTTAATGTTCCGTGAGGTTCACGTTTAAAGCAAGCAGCAGTGTCTGATTTCCAAGATTTACTGTTACGTATTTTAACTTAAGATTTTTCTTGGAGCACGACATTATTTTACTTTTATGTCGCGATGTTCGCGTGCATGTAGTTTAAATTTAGATTGAAACGTCATTTGAAAGGTTCAGGACTTTAAAAACAAACGGCTGAAAAAAAGCAAAATATGCTAGAATTAAAAGTGCACGTAATGGAATTTCAATTCCTGTGTAGTTCTACTGCTGAAATTAAGGACTGTTTTCAGGCCGTGAGTCTGATAATACTCGAATGTTGGCTGGCAGGAGCCTCAAGCAAACGAGTTTAAAGAATACGATGCCGTATATAGTACTTATTTCCTATGTCTCTACTTTATTTCTCAAATTTGAATGTTAAACTTTGAATTTTATTGCGGATATTGATAGTTTCGTATACTATTCTGTCATTTTTATACAATATATGTAAATGAAGAAACCATAAACGGGACAATTTTATGGGAGCATTAGAGAAGTTGAATGTTTAAAATTTAGCTCTAAATTATTATAACAAATAAAAACTGAAGTATTTGCGTTAAGTATGCACAAACTAGTTAAGACTTCCAGTTGGGCAGTGGATCTCATTTATTAGTAACAAATTGAACAAATTGAACAAATGAAATTTTCGAGTTGCTCTTCAAATATAAATTTTAAATGAACCCTGAACTCTTCACCATTGTGGCCGTAATTTTAGAAATTTTGAAAACCTTGAATTGTACGTTTGCTATGTATGAAGACGAGTTCTTAAATTGTTGTAAACAAATGACTTTCAGTGGCTAATATCGTCAGAATTGAAATTTTAGTTGCTTCCTAAAGCTGCTGCTTTCAAAATGAAATCTAAAATTTATCTTAACTTTATTTGAAAAATTGTAAAGCTTATAATTAGTCCAAAGGGATTTGAATCCCGAAGGACTATTAGTTTCGTTTTGGCATTTTGCGTCGGACGGATAAATGTCGGTTCACTTTTCAAACTGTTGCCATAAAATGTTAGTCCTGCATTATATTTGAAGAAATTAAATAATGAAAATCTGCGTGAATGTATTTCTCATTGTCATAAAATAACGGTACATAGTCATCGAATTTTGAATAACGTAATCCTCCAACGAATATGAGCATGTGGAAGACCAAATTTGAAATTTGTTTTATGATCGATTTCCTATTTTTTAAAACTTTGACGAATTTTTGATTAACAAACTGAAGGATTTCAAAGCGAGCAATGGCAACGTTGTGCAGAAAAACATTTTTATCTCCAGCGCGTGAGTGTCTGTATCGGAAATTCTAAAGATATGCTCGTTTTAAAACTATTTTGCGATATTGCTGTTGCATGATCTTATGGTTTAAGTGCGAGGAACATGATATTTAATAAAGAAAGGCAACACACAAAATGTTAAAAAACGGCCCTTTGGACGTAATTTAAAATCTGAAACATTTCAGATTTTTTTCTGGTGATTATTTTTTTGCTTTTAGTTTAAAAACTCTTGGTTTACTCCATTGAAATTTCTTAATTTTGCGAACATTTTACCTTTCACACGGTTAGCTGTATTAGTTTTCTCTAAATGCTTAGAAGCTGTATTCAAAAAGTTGATGTTGTCATATTCAGTACATTTCAGTTTTGTTTCTACATATTATACAATTAATGCCTTTCAACTGACTTGGCCCTCGCCCTGAAAATCGGTAGCAATTTTCAGCTTTCATGTACTTTTGTATTGCACTTATCAAATCCTTAGTATTATAACACAAGGTCTTAAGAAGCGATTTTAATTTACTGTTATCATTGTTATCGCAAAAATCTAAGTGCAGGTGGAATTTCAACATTGAAGATGTTTTATCTGTATAAATCAATTTAGTTGTAAAGTAAATAGAATTAACTTCCGAAGCTCCTCTTATGTGCATAAACTTTAAGGAAATAAAAATTTTAAAATCGTTCACGTTACAGTACGTGCTACAAAAGTTTTCAGATAAAAAGAGCATTTTTAACAGCTTTTGCTAAAATGTCTCTCCATATATAGAATTTAGACAAGCTAGATCTAATACGCTAAGTAATACCTTTAATTCAGTATAGGTTCGTGAGACTTTCCACAAATTTGTTCTCATTTGATCTTAATGATTAGACTTGGCCTGTAAAACTCGCTTTAGTACTAAATCTGCAGTATATTAACTTATTTTGTGCATGCATAAAGCTGCTCCTTAAGTACTAGCTATAACTACTCCGTCCTTTGTTTCGGTAACGAAAGCGCCTGAAGCTGAAGACTTTAAACAAAAATATCCATTCTTGTGCAAAAATCTGACTATACTTTAGAATACTTTGCTGTTCCTGACATTCTGTTAAACGAGCTTCTTTATAGTCTCGTTGAACCTCTCGGCTTCTTGTAATATTTCTTAACTGTTTCGTTAAATTTTCAGAAACTGAAGCTGGTGCCTCGGAGTTAAGCCTCAGACCAACGGTACTAGTTGTTCGTCCTCATGTTGACCTTCTTCCTGAAATTCAAAGAGCTGTTCGGGCTGCTGTGAATTGGCTGTTAAGACAACGTAAGCAGGACTTCAGCTGGGGATCTTCCACCTCCCGCGCGATTGTGGCTCTCAGTCTAGCGGATGAAGTGATACAGGTCGAGCCACAGGAATTGCAATTAATGAAGAAACAGCTAAATATTTTACTTAGTATAGAGCTTATGAAGTAAGTACGTAAGATACTTATAAAAAGACTAATAATCCATAAAGACTTAAATAGGGATAAATTGTTTTTGGTGAACGTTTTCTAAGGGCAATTTTTAGCGTTTGCCTTTAAAATCATCTCGTGCCTCAATTTCTTTTGCAAGCTTTAAATTAATACTTCCAAATAGTAGGCCTTCGAAACAATTTCATGCAATCCGCAAATACGTTTTAATTGTTAATTTGTTGCAAATACGGTGTATCCGATTTCAATGATTCAATGAAAATCATACAAACTAACAATGAAGGTTAATAACAAACGTGAAAAACGCACCCAAAAATCTGAATGGAGCTTATTTATAATAATCTTGCTCAAAGATTAGAAGATGCAGATTTTAACTTTCGCCCGCCAGCGTCCAAGCGGTAAAATAGCTGGAAATTAGCAGGCTGGCTGCATGGGCGTTCTCGTAGTTTTCCCATGTATAACTGTGTATACGAACCAGTTTCCTTTGGAATGTCTTCAACGAAAGCATCCCTTTCCCTAGGCAGATAACCTTCGTGTGCTTTGCCGTAATTAAATAAAACTTGATTTAACTTTTCAAAAATAGGCTAAGTTTTGCCCTCAATCACTTGATGAATACATTTATTTGAACAGCTTTTTCCACTGTTCAAAACTAAAAAAACAAACCCGTGTAACCGATGAGCATCTACAATCCATGGAGAGATTAGATATTAACATTAAGGCTACAAACTTTGAGAATAGAAAGGCCATCAAGTGTTAAGCTGCAGTAAGAAATAAGTTTATACGAAATTATGCAATATGTATCCTTCGAAGAAAAAATCTAAGAAATAGAAGCTACTCTTCTGTTATGGGGATCGGATTCAGGAATGTATATATTATCCACGTACGTTTGTGTATACATTTCAGAATCCGGTTTTTCATAACAAAGAGTACCAAACGGACTGTTTTTCTGTATTAAGTTTTGTTCCACTTTTAAAATATTCTCTCAAAATTTAGAAAGTCTTGATAATTTTACGAAATGCTTAAATATGTTAAATTACTTGAAATAAATTTAAATAAGATTTGGTTGTCGTTTATGGTCTGCAACTAACAAACTTCTAGCAGGTACCAAATTTTAGATTTTGGATATGAAATCCATGTAAATCGGTTTTCTTTATGATATTTATGTAATAAATATTTAGTAAGCACTGATAAATATTTACCAAGAACTTCATAATTTACATAAAATAGTTTTTTGATTTAAATTTTTTGTTAAAATTTCTGGTCAGTCGGCTGTTTTCAGATCGTGCATTTGGGCCGCATGCGGTTTCATTTTGAGACCATTTATCTCAAGCAATAGTCGAACTGCTCATCTTGAAGTGAGGCAATAATTTAATCACTGCAGTGACTCTTTAAACGAAGGATAATTATGTCAAAATGGTTTTATTTGCTCTAACAGCCCATTACAAATGAAATATTGCGATTTTTTTAAAATTTCCCTTCAGTAATAGTTCTGCCAAAGGAAATGTTCGTATTGTTTAAAAATGCGAATGAGAAGTGCGAGTTCATAATGAAATCTATAGTTTTAAATAGAATGTAAAATGGGAAAAAATTTCTCGACAGATTAAAGTTGAGAATTTGTCGCTTAGCAGGTACATCATATGTTAACGGCAAAAATATGCATTTTCTCCTAGCTTATGTTCAACATTTATTCTGTTTTCATCATTTAGAGAAACTTTGAGGAACTAAGGGCATGGAGTGCAATTTCTCGCTAATTTCTACTGAATGGGGCACTGCATGTGGGATCAGGTTCTATTGTAGTACGCGTTTAGATTCTATCAAATTAATGTGTAATGAACATTTGAATGATATTGGGTTTTAACGCGTAAGAAAAGGTGAAATTACTTGATATCCTCGGTGCTGAAATTACTTGAATTCTCGGTGCTTTAATTATGGAATTTTTACTTGTTTAAAGTAATGCTATTAGTTATCCTGGAAATCTTGCAAACTGCCCGAATTCAAGCGATTTTTCACTTCGCGAGTAAAACTAAGGGATTCGCAAGGATTTATATGAAGTGAATATGATAGCAGAGTTCATTAAGGAAACTAATATATTAACGATGATTTGATAAATGCAGAATTTGCCAAAGGAATAGATCTTCTCTGGATAATGGAAACCATTTAAATGCATTCCAGTGAAACATTTCGCTATATTTTAGGCCTTTTATTCAAGTTTCACTTTAAAGAACTTAAAATTGTCTTATTGAAATATTAATCGGAACCGAAGTAACCTTAATACAATTAAATTCCAGAGGTTCAGTTCTAATCGATAAGGCAACCTATCAGGTATTCGAAGAATCTAGATAACTGGATTTTCCTGTAAATAGATTTTTACTTATTGCAATCCAAATAGCTGTAATTCAAGTGCTTTTCAGCGAAGATATGGCACGCTACTGCCTGAATAGATGACTCAATCCGAATTCGAATCTTCATTAGCGGATTGGCTGTAAATGAGTTTCTACGACTCGTACCTGTACCCAATTTAAATTGCAAGACAGTTTTCCAAGTTCACGAAGCCGTTCCTCCTCTGACAGAGTTCGGGTACTTCAGCCAGCAAAACAATATAGTTCACCAATTTCCGCAAAGCAGATTATATGTATTTAGATGGAAAAATTATTTCCTTAAGCATACAACCCATTTCTTTTAATTAAAATAAAACTGTTTATTTATTCGTTATGAAACAAATATTCCTCACATTAAAATTCCTTGCAGAAAATTCTTCTAGGTAATAATTGAATTGACAAATTTTGATTTTTAAACTATCAAATGTTGCATGCTTATAATTTTAATGGAAGGAAAGGATTGTCTTCGTGAATTCAAATAACTTCACGTATATATGTAATAAGTATATATGCAATATGTATCTTCATATATATATCAAATAATCTTATTACCTGGCAAGACTGCGAAATCTGAAGTTTAATTGCAGAAATATTAAACTTCGATTAAATTCACTTTCGTGAACCTGAAACCCCAAGAAAATATTTCGAAAGTTTAAGTACAAATTAAGAAAATCTTGGAAACAAAACATAAAAGCATTACCAGTTCAAGCTAAAACTAAAGGCCTGGTGTTAAATCACTTGCGAAGCTCTGTTATTATCATTATACTACTAAAAATAACATTTGCTGATTCCAAAACCCATTGCTTATTGGAAACTGGATGAAGTTTTATCAACAGGGATTGAAATATTGAAAGCGGCACTTATTTGCAAGAATTGCGAGGTATTCGTACATTAAAAGTCAAATTATAAATTAAATATTTTAATAATTGGAAACTCTTTTTAAAATATGGCATTCCCCATAATTCTGCGTCACTTAATTTTCAGGTTGCTGAAAATCTCCAGTAAATCTTCAGTTATGAGTGGTGTACAATTTTCACATTGTATAGTTAATATTTACAACTCAAGTCTTAAAGTTCAGCAACATTTTTTATATCTTAACTGAACTGCTGTTATTTGAAGCGGCCCGTTCTGATGTAAGTCAATATCTGAAGTAATTCGAATTTTTTGTGGAATGTAACCGGCTTTGAAAAATATAGTGACATGCTGAAGTTTGACGTATTAAGCACGCCTTTGTTCTTGGCTTGATCAAGCAGATTAATTATGCATGCTTTGTAATTGTATGACTCCGATTGTATCAGTACTTCATCATGAGGTAGTTTAATCTTAAAGGCCATCTTGGGCTTTCGCGGATAACCTAATTACGTAATTTCCAAATGTAAGACAATCTGTGGGCGTATATAAGCGGTTAAAGAATGGAATTGCCAGGAATCTGTAATAAAAATTGGTGAGAACTTGGCATGAAATCTGATACCAGTTCATAGCTGATAAAGATGCCAGTTAACTCTTTACCACATGACTTTGCCATTGATCAGCAAATCTCATCGGTGTCATAGCATCGGGTATTACATTTCACTTACGCCAAGCATTACCACTGAACTAAAGTAATTTGCCGTCGTTTACTTGTGACTGACAAAACGCATATCCAGCATTGTTGAGCAAAAAGTTGTATTGGTATATGGAGATCTAATAATCTTTCATTAAAAAGGTGCTGATCAAGTTTGTAATATCAATTAGAGTAGTGTTTTGATGGAATATACAGAGCGTCTACAGAAACGATGTGCATAGAGATCTTAAGTTTTCTTCCTCTAGTGATGGTTTCTACCAGCATAATACGAGCTCCCAGTAATCAGGGATGGAGAATGAATAATTGTTTCTCAACATTACAGGGCATTATGCAGAACTTGATAAATAAGTTCGATACCAAGCCAGAGTCCTTTAACACTAGCATTAGTTTTCCATATACTTATAACTACGATCAGCGATTTTGACAGCTTGCTCCCGAATAGATGGAAAAGGCTCGCCTTTTGCTCATATTATGTAAAGCTAATACTTGTGAAAATGCATCTTGCTTGTTTAATGAGTAAATAAAGTAAACTGAGTAAATACATATAACCAAAATATAATTTAATGTGACAGAGCAAAATAGAGTAAATGTATTAATCGATGGATAATGTAATGTAACAGAGCTGGAAGAAAAAACCCTTGTTAAATAAACTTATTAAATAAATTCACTGAAAAAATTTTAATATGAAAAGTATATTGAAGATTACACGTTAGTACTTGCATTACTCGGTTTTGAAGTGCATACAGATTACTAATTTTTTAAATTTACCTTCATTTGGCATTGTTTAAGCTTACGGGAAGGGTTGTGAATTTTGGATGAAATATACATCTTTCGAAGCTCTTCAGTCGTATTCAATATAAAATCACGATGGCAGATGTTCTTGTACTCGGTTGTTTCCTTGTAAATTATCCATGTCTCTATTGTGCCCAAACCAAGGTTAAATCTTTAATTGTCCAAAGTCTGGATGAGGACTTCACAGAGTATTTTCTGGTCATCTGGTCCATATTTCAGAGTTGTGAATTTTTACAATTTCCGGTGTCTGTTTTCATCAGATGCGATTTTCAATGGTAGGTGCGCGGTACTCTTGATAAGGACGTTATTGCTTTTTCTTAAGATTCAAGCTTTGTATTGCATGCTTAGCAGTCTTGTTAGAAGAGCTCATCCCTCGTATTTTTGAAAGAATAAGGTACTTCTCTTTTTGACCGATTTATTGTGCCAACGCAGATTATCCCTGAACTCCTCATTTCTTTCACTATTTCTTTCACTCATTTCTTCTCATTTCTTTCACTCATTTCTTTCACAGTGGAGTAAAAGTCCGTTGTCAGCACTACTTGTATCCACTACTTGAGTTAACATAAATTATTTTTCTCGTTGCATATGAAGTGGGCCCAATTACTTAGTCAGACATTTTGCTGAAGACGTCTCCCTGTAATTACTTGTTGAAATATTTCAAATTTTCCAAACTGAACAATCATTCGCTTTTTCTATCTCGTTTTGAATTTCCTTACTTTGGATACCATTTTCCTCGTTCTTGAGTTTTTTTGCCTTTCACTACTTTCTCCAGCTGGACTCCGTTGATTTAATTTCCAGAAACCATACTAGAAGGCAACGTAATATTTTCTTGGTATAAATTTTTACTTTCCTTGGATTCACTTCTTTCAGTAGGGACAATACAGTCCTCGTAGAATAAATTGAATATAGTTTCGGTATAAAATTCTCCCATCAGGTTCAGTTTCTGAAGCGGAATTATCAAAGGCTTTTAAAAACGTTTAGCATTTCTTCCTTCGTTATCGTTAGATATTTTCTATCAACGCTTCTACGCGACATGGTAAACAGGTCAGAACAACAAACCTATCTAAATGAATTAAAGTACATTTGCGTCTAATGAAATATCTTTCTAACACGAGGGAAACTGGCAGACACGTGGAGCGCAGAAATTCCAAGCAATTGTTTCTATTCTCCTTCTCAATGAAATACTCAATATTCTATACCAAAAATACACTTGTTTATTTATCAGCAAACTGTAAAAAGTTAGTCTTAAATAAGAAAAAATGTAATTTTCTGGGTACGGTCAAAATGAGCCTTAATTCTAGATATAAACAATATTGGCGAAAATTATTTCAAATCGAACAAAAATGCACGTTTTTAGAAAGTCTAAAATATTAAATATAAATAAATTAAAGTTATGTCCAATTAAAATGGAGGTGCGGTTAAAATGACCGCTGCCGTAATTCTATTGTTAAAAGATCAACATGCTTTATACTGGCAAGGACGTGAACGTAGGTCGAAACCACAATGAGCACCCTCGAGTTCGACTTCTTTTGGAATTAGGTGTGAGCGTTTTACTAGTTCATTTTAAGTAGTTCTTCCGGATTGAATTTCGGTTCACTCAAGTCTTACCAACATCAATATAAAATTCTATTTTAACGAATAGAGAAAGCCTATGATACCACCTGGAGATACGGTATCCTTCGTGACCTATATAGCAATGGTTTACGAGGAAACATGCTGATATTCATCAAACATTTCCTACAGGATCGGAAGTTTCATGTGAAGATAGGCGATACACTTTCTGACATGTTCCATCAAGAACAGGGCGTTCCGCAAGGAAGTATATTAAGTGTTACATTATTTAGTATAAAAATTAACTCTATTTTAAAACAACTGCCTCCAGAAGTCCAGGGTATGCTCTACGTCGATGACCTGCAAGTCAGTTGCCAGGAAGAAGACCTGAAAGACATTGAGTGTAAACTGCAGACATCTCTCAATAGAATTGTTAAATGGTCGCAGGAAAATGGTTTTAGATTCTCTACTCAAAAGTCTGTGTACATTTCTGTGGAAAGAAAATTCCTTACCCTGACCCCGAACTTTATCTGCAAGATGTGCTGATTCCTTTAGAAAAGGAAATAAAATTCCTAGGAATGATATTTGACCATAAGCTTACGTTCCTTCCCCATATTACCTATCTAAAAAAAGAAATGTTTAAAAACTGAATATTATGAAAGTACTGTCAAATACTTATTGGGGTGCTGATCGAGGCTCAATGCTTCTTATATATAGAGCTCTCATTCGTTCGAAATAGATATGGATCTCATTTATTGGTCGGCAAGGCAGTATTAGCCAAACGATCCGATAATCACTTATATGTCACAAGGCCTTCTATAGCAAACTGATCCGATACATCACAAACACTTCGGATATGCACTGGTGCCTTTAGAACTTCTCCAGTGAAAAGCTTATATGTAGAAAATAAAGAGACCTCCCTGCGGTTAAGACGTGAAAATCTGTTTTAAGCATTATTTCAAAGTCTTATCACAAACCGAAAATTCTACGCGGTCAAAACTGCTTAATAACCAATACTCCCGTTTATATCGGGCACGACGATCATGTGTCCCATCTTTCGGCTTGCGGATGAGTGCTTTGGTGGAGGAGTACAATTTTTCTAATATAGACATACAGGTGGAGGATTGGAGAATCCATTCTCTGGATACTTTTCGACACTGGAGTAAATCACAAACTAATGAAATCATCTACAAGCAGATTTTTTGAACATAGAAACAAATATAGGAAATATATCCCTCTATATACAGACGGATCAAAATCCAAGGATCATGTTGGTGCCGCTTTCGTCACAGAGAAAACAGTAGGGGTTCGATTACGTACAGTTTGCTCTGTGCTTGCTTTTGAGCTTACTGCAATCCATCTGGCTTTGACTTACCTTTCAAAACAAAAGGTACATAAAGTTTATTATCTACAGATTCCATGAGTGACTTAATGTCATTGGAAAATCACGCTCAATGTCCTCACCAGTTGCAACCACAATCCTGAAGTTGAATCATTCTTTAAAAATTCGGAAATACCAGATTCGTTATTCGTGGATCCCTGGACACGTTGCCATTAAGGGGAATGAATTGGCGGATATTGCAGCTGAAACTGCTACCACAATGTACAATCTTCAGATTCCACTAGCAAACATCAAAGGGTTTGTCAAAAGCAAAATTCTCAGCAAATGGCAGAAGCAATGGGATGACAAAGTATATAACAAGCTGAGAAATGTAAAACCCACCATTGGATACTGGCCATATATGGCTAATAGAAGGGAGGATGTCTTCTTGACTCGACTGAGAATTGGCCATTGTGGCCTGACCCATGAGTATCTTTTGAAGGGAGAAGAGAATCTCAGCTACCCAAACTGCAATGCAGATCTGACAGTCCATCATATCTTGGTGGAATGCTAGAGTTTAATTATGTTCGCCAAAAACAATTTTAATTGTTCAGAACTGGACTTGGGGAAATTTAATTGGAAAAACACATCGTGATTTGCTTGTTTTTAAAAGATATTGGCTTTTAGAAATTAGATTGGCTAAAGATATTGACTTTAACCTGTTTTTTAAAAGATATCAGCTTTTATCAGATTGTAATCTGTCGCTTTTTACCTAAGCTGAAGTCTTTACAAATGACTAATTGCATTGTTACCATTTGTCTGGCGCAGATAACCTTGACAGGTTTTGTGCCAAATTACAATGATTTTAACGAAGTTTCTAATTTATTTTTAGTACTAAAAACATATTTTGTTGCTTCAAATTAAGCATGTGGCCTCGCTGAAATTTGTTGATCAATAGTGTATTGCGTGAAATTTCTTAATGTAAAAACTATACAACATCCATCTTGTTTACTTATTAGAAATGAGAAAAACAGGAAATTGAGCCTTGGACGTCTTGCACAGTATATAAATGCTTTGTACGCAACATGCCAAGATCCTCGTTATTTTCAAGGTATAAATTTGATTAAGAAACTGCGATCCGATACTAGGCTTGCAAGAGCAAAGAACGATTTCAGTTTACCTATTGTTTTTCTTACTCTCTGCCTTGCTGAGGAATGTGAAGAAAAAGATCTGGACTCTCTAGTCGGCATTTTGAAGATGAATGGGGATAAATTAGGTAAGTCGCTTAGAATTATGTTTCAAAACTGAACGTTAGCTAATATTTCTCAGCTTCATAAATAATTTTTCGTAATAGCGAAGTATTGAGATCATTCGAAATTAAGTACGTATTAAATAACTTACCCCCTTCAGACATGAATGAATTAAAAAATTTTGTAGTTTTTATTCAATAAACTGCATTGGGGTTTTCTTTAAACATAATTAAGAAATATGTGCATAATAAAAATTGTTAGCGAATACTCATAAAATTCCAACCAATTTCTCGTTAAAGATTCTACGGAAAATAGTGCAAAACTCAGTTTTTCACTTTTTGCATTTTCTGTAAGTGGGTTGTAAGACGTATCGTGATATTCTAACCCTGCAAAATATTTCTTACATTTTCAGCAAGTTATTTAAATTGTCGACTTTACGCTCAAGTATCTTACTGCATGTGACGATATTAAAAGGGCCTAATTTTCCAATATTTCTATTCTCTTTTCTCCTAAGAAAAATATCAATTTTTAAGGCGTTAAAAGATGAATTTATGCAGAATGCTAATGACTCTCGTACTGGAAACCATGTAACTCAACTCAGCTGTTTGCTTTTGAGTTAATTTTTTGAAGCTTCATGGCCAACTCCATACATGTTTCATGGTATTAAGTTTTCCATAATCAACTTCCGGGCAAGTCTCGTGCAACTTTTTTATAATTAAGCAGTCCAATCAACGATCGTTTGGAATATCTTAAGAAACCTCTTAAGACCGTCTTCGAATATTGAGAACCTGCCTGCCTTCATCTGCAACATTTATTATATAGACTGAAAGCGCGAAACAATGTGTCGGAGACTCTCTACTTACCAAGTTCATGCAGTTGCGAGATATCCGATGTTGCACACTTTTTGAAATAAAAACCTAGCGAGCACTGCTGTTTACCTGCAACAGATATTTCGATTAACGCGGTTTTAATAGTAAATGAGTGTGAAAAAGGGTTTTATGAAATCCAAAATAAAGGAAATGAATTAATAGTTTTGAAATTCACAAAACACCTGTAATTCCAGTCAATAGTTGAACAATAATTTGTTACCAAATATAGTTGGTTAATGCGAGCTTTTGACACTAGAAGAAATGAAATAGCTATCTGAACTGGAATACATGAGCCAGCATCTATCTGTAAACCTTTTTATCGCGGTATCTTTCGTAGCGCCATTTCGATGTTCTTGTAATTCTAAATTGTTCGTTTTAATCGAAAGCGTACTAAATGCTTCTCTTTAGTTTTGATTCCCTTGTGTAAAAGTATTTATCTTCCTTGGAATTAGGAAATCTACTTTCGAAAACTGGACAGACCCAGAATTTGATCTTAACAACTGTAGCTCGTTTTTGCATTAAATTTGCACATTGATTCAAATAAGTGCTTTCATGTTGTGAAATATAACCTTAAATTAATTCTTCTAATTTGTTTCAGATTTAAAATCCATCTCTTTGATGGCCATGTCGTGCATAACAGAACTGCATGGCTTTAGACATCGTAGATCCGAATTCCTTCATTACTTAAGGGATTTCCAATATAAACTGGAAGCTATTGCTGTAAATGATATCTACACAAGAGCTCTCATTCTCCAGGTATGTAAATTCTCTTGCCCAAACACTTGTGAATTTAAAACTAGTTATGCTCATCAGCGCCCGAGTTTATGAACATTGGTAGTTCCACTTGGTATCGATTCCAGGCGAACGAGCAGGCTGTTTGGGCGTTTTGGTAGTTTTCCCCTAGTATAACAAAGATACGACCCAGTTTCTCTTGTAAAGCCCTCCAAGAAGGATCTCGTTCTTTGAGCAAGAGAGCCTTAGCATGCTTTGCTGCAATCAAATAAACCAAAACTTATCTGTCCAATGCTAATATTTCTATTATAAGATAACGTGCCTTTCAAATTTCTGTAACAAGATGCTACGCTAACTCGATACCTCGACAAAAGACAATACCATGCTCAGCTCATATCGACTGTGACATTTTTTCTAAATATCTTAAGATTAGTTCTATGAATAAATGAACGAAATAAAACGACTCGCTTTAAAGATTTTCTGCTCACACTGCTTTGAAAATGAATTAACATATTGTTGCGTGCGTACGGGTTCGTTATGAAATGAATGCACAAGTCCGATGAAAAATGAACAAAAATTTATTATCACAAAAATGCTTAAATTTTCTCAAATTATCATGCAGTATTACAATATCTCACAGTAGTTATCTTTTAACTACTCAAATGTCCAATAGAACGTAATTCAAAACAGCTAAAGAACGCTAATCCGCGAATTCGCTACAATCGACGAGAGCAGTTTTCTAAACAACAAACTAAGCAACTACTACAAACTGAGATGTTTTCCTCCTTTTATAAGCTTTTAAAATCACGCGCTAGAATTTTCCAGTACTTTCTCGAAAGCAAAAAGAGATATTTATTTAATGCACGCGCTCTTGTATTTTCAATTTTCCGGCTTAGCTTTCTTTTAATATTCGTCACGCGCTGCACTGCGCGAGAAATAAAACCATTTAATTTATAATTGAACTAACATTAGCTTTTTAAATACCAAATTCGTAACAATATTTAATAAGGGAAGATGGGCACTTTTAGCTAATATTTTTCTGTAGAAAATTGTTTAACTCTTTATATAATGGAAGACATCGAATGTTGCTTCGCACAACTATTAGGTAAAGCATATCCAGATATTTCTAGTCTACTATTAAGATTCTCATTGCTGAGAATCTGTAATTCCTGCTCCGGTTTTAAGTTTCTTAGTATTTTAAAGAACTCGAAGCATGATATTAAAAGCAATCTAACCCTGAGTGCGCAATATTTGACAGCTGTATCAGGTAGTCCATGACTTCTGTCATTTGCTTAGGTCTTGGGCACTTATCGACAATACGCATTTGCCCAGCTACATCCCACTTTTGAAGAAGTCTTTGTGAGACGAATACAGGTCTCGCCTCCCTCCACCCTTTAAACTTGGGAAGATTTATGCCTAGTTGACAGTACTAAAAGTATTGCCATAATGCAAATGCTTTCTTCACTTACAAAAGTCCATGCCTTCTGGATTTGAAAAGTGCCCAAGACTATGCAGCCATCTTCCCTATCATCATGCAACAAGGCAGGTTGTAGCTATAATTTACGTTAAGCTATCAAAGGCAAGTCCTAATCAAAAATTTATTTCAAACCCATGAAATTGAAATTCCTGTATTGGGAATTTAATTGTAGAGAATTTTTGCATCTGATTAATAGTTTCTTAGTCTTCAGTTTCAGATTTGTAACGTTGATCATTTTTCTGTTAACTTGTGGAAAGAACAAGTTGTAAACATTCGCATATTATGCAAATTTCGATGCGTCCGTCACTACATCTAAAATAATAAACCTAATTTTAAAGAAAGTTACCTCGCTTTGTTTCGGAGGTAAATGGAACATAAAATTCAAGTAGTCGTGCGATTCATTTCAAGCCCACATTCTGAATGACAATGATTAAACCTTTTCAAACCTAATGTAAGATTGAAGGCAATTTTGTGTTTATGTGCAATTTTAACTTAAGTACGCAAATGCATGATATTTTGTTAAAATCGTTTGCAGTCGAGACTTTAGTTCTCAATTATGGGGCTTTTAATTTCTGGCGACATTTAAACTTCAAAATAAAACTAAATATTTCTATATTCCACTTAACATCTTAGCGATCGAAAAATCATTGTTTCTACATTTGTCACTGCATCGGGTTTTCTGTGTTAAGTTCTTTCGTTCATTCATATAGCATGAAATTTCGCAATTATTGCTTGAAAATGCCGTCAGTTCTTTATGTAAAGAGACTTGGTGATAAATCATGAAGTCTCCCATCGTGTATTGGTATTCAAACATGCACCGAAAAATTTGACTAAAATGTTTAAACTGAAAAGTAAGTTTAACATGTAATGAAAGGTTTTTGGCACTCTTAATTTCATAAATCTTTCAGAAATCTGAAGTCAGAACTTGTCAATTTATTTTTCAATAAGATAACGAGACGCCTTGGAACATCGTACGTATATAATAATCAAACTGTACTCCTTTGTTCTTGTCTTAAATTGGATAAAAGAGCTAAAGTTCAACCTTGGCTTTTGAAAGTCTGACTATCTTTTTATCCTATGTTTCATGCTGAATCATTTCTAAACAATGAATGTCATTTTCGTTGAATTTGGCTTTAACGTAAATTGTATTGAAAGCCCTATTTTTAAATTAATGTTTCAATTTCCAGGCATTACTTTCTGGCGACAAAAATAGTTACGATTCTTCCATTATAAATTCAACTTCTCTCTTAAGACTGCAACGGGAAGATGGTTCTTTTGGAGACATATTGGCTACTTACTATGTAATTCCTGCTTTATTGAATGAAAATTTGCAGTCATTAAAACACAGGAAATGTGAGCATGAGGATGTAGTTGGAGGTAAGTAAAATGTTAATACGTTGAAACCTTAGTTTAAGAACATTTTTACTGAAAATTTCTCCTTAGGATTAATGTAAAATGAATTAATCTGTTCTGCGATCCCAAATGATTCTTTAGAAAAGAATACTTTGTAACTTTCATACTTGGTAAGTTTGCAAATACTATGCAAAACAATGGAATTTATAAAATCTAAAACTTGCACAATCTGCTTTAAAATCTTCATAAAGGAAGACGTCATTGCAAAGATTTTGTTGACGGCTCATCTGTTCGTATTTCGAGACATCGTTCGTCATCAATGTTTCGTTTAAAATATTTATTCGTGAAGAGAGATTCGGCTGTATTCCATTCTTAATTTAAAATTTGTATCATAAGGGCAGTTACAGCAAGAATGATGCAACTAGTACGTTTTCTAAAAACTGACCATCCATCTAAAAGATGAACGGAACAACCTGCTAACCGCGAGAGTGATAGGTTATAAGCAAAGGTGCCAATTTTCAGAAGACTAGCTAAACTGTTCTTAACAGCAGAAGTTAATGTATACTTAACTATTAGTTCTGTTTAGATGGAGTTCCAATATGAGTTTCAAAAGATCTATTCCCAGATAGTTTTATTCGTGTCATCAAAATTTATCCTTTGACTACAGATCTTTATACCTGTATTTCATAGTTTTCATATCCTGGTTTTTCATAAAACAATTTTATGTGCTTCATCTTAATACTTGCCATTTTATAGCTATATTTAACTTTGTCTTAAGTTTCCACTACTGAATATGCACTGAATGGTGCATGTGTTTTTACCTTACTATCTTGGGTTTTTAAAACTTCTGTTTGGCCCAGCATAACCTCCATGGGTTTTGTGCCCAAAACTCCAACTTGTATGGAGTTCCAACTTTAATGCTGGAAGTCTGGCGGGTTGGATTCGAACTGGGGTTACTTGTTAAGATTACGGTCTCACTCACGTAGAGAAGAATCTGTGCGACTAGAGTAAATCCTGTCACTACATTGAACAGACCGAAAGTTGGACCAGTTTTAATACTTTGGAAGTAGGAGCTTCTTTGTAGCCATTAGCTCCAGAAATGGTAGCTTTCCAAATAGTTTAAGGAACCATTACTGACTGGATGAACTATTCAAGTATTAATTTTAATACAATGTGTACTTTTAAAGATGAGTTAGTATACAATAAAAGTGAGCATGACTACGAACTGCATACAGCTTGAATCCGGCAAGGTCAGCGTACATATTGTTCAGCGGGGAACCTGTCTTATGAGGCCCCATTTGTTTGGTTTTAAAAGTATCCAGTTTCGTTTTTCGTTCAACAGCAGTTTATGGTTTCAGCATCGGGAAATCGGAACATTTATCAGGTTTTGTCTGGTAGCGATTCATAGCGGAGATTCCTACACGCTATTGCTAGTTATGGGAACATGGACTTTCAAGTTGCCTAGTTTCGCTTGGGCGTAGCAAGTGCCGACACCTAGTTTTACGAGTGTAATATGTCCTAATTTTATGAAAATAATTCTTTAAAATTACTGGAAAGTGTTCAACATGACGTCATGGATAAGGCATCAGGTAAACATTAAAGTATTGCACAAGTTAGCGTAGGAGTACATAATTTTCAGGTCGAATCGTATGAAATAAAATTTGACTTGATCTTAATCTGTAAATGAAATACTTTTCAACTTCTGAGGCATAAGTTATCTTGTGATTACGTATTTGTGTGGCATTAAGTTTCCTGAAGCGTCGCTATATACAGACATTAAAGTGAATTTTAATGAAAGACTAACTAGGGAAATGAACGATTATGTAATTAAAACCAACCAAAATCTGAATAAAATTGGAATGCCATTTAAAAGGCACTTTTCCTTGATATGAAAGCAATTTAATTCATTCGCTTGCATTACAAAACAGCTTCTCTTTAAACACGGTTCTAGAATTTCTTCCTTTTCGGTAATTAAATTTAGAAATTTATGATCTTTTTCTTGCAGATGATTTCCTAGGAAGCTATGCAGAGGACTCTGGACCTGTTATTAAAATAACCTATTCACTATGGATCGAAAACGGGAATGATGTAGATGTTCATTCAATGGAAATCGAATTTAAAGGAAATAAAAGCTTTTATGACATAATGAAGATGGCAAAGAAAAGGAATCACCTCTACAGGTAAACATTTCGCTATATATCCATAAGCCGAAAATGCGTTAAAGCTATCAATTGAAAGGACTGATCTATCTGTTTAAAATTAAGTATGTTAATTGCTTTACTGTCAACTTAATGTTCGGTAACTATATTAAACAAAATTAAATAAAATCTATTTGATTCCTGGAGCAGAATACATAAAAAGCAGCTTTCAAATATATGAAAATGTGATAATTTACATTTTGCTGCTTTGATTAATGTGCCGGGTTACTAAACCTTGTCACTGAAGGGTATAGCTATCAGCACATGTCAAAGTTAAGCAGATGTGCACTATTCCAGAGGGTAGCTTTAATAGTAACATTTCATTTAATTATGCTGCCAGAAAGTTTCAGGGTTCCTTTTTCGGAAGCAAATTAAATTTAACAATGTTATCTAATAAAAATTTCTATTTTATAATCACGCTGAAATAAACTTAAAGAGCATTAGTTACAGGGTTTCTTACCCACCCAAATTTTTCGACAGTGCCAAACTTTTATTTAACAGAAGTTTAGTTCAGTTTAGAAAGCTAGGCGTTTATGTGGAGGGTTTATCTAAAATTTTCTCTTTGAATAAAAATTGAAATTAAAAATGCTCTAATGTATTTCTTACTAGTTTAATAAATTCTTTTCATTTAGCCCACTTTCAATTTTGATATTCTCACTTTCCTTAAATGAATTATGTTCTACGAATATAAACACCAAATGAGAACATTAAGTTATCTTATAGTTGGTAGCAAAATGTTAAATTATATAGAGAAATGAAGTGCAATGATTATTTAAAGTTTACTCGCCCTAGCCACTATTTGTGCTCGCAAAATGTATAATCCACTTTCAGTAACTTGTAAAAAAAAATATTTTTCATTGGTAGTATGTTATCTCCTTTAATGCAGAACTAAATTTAGTTGCGTTTTCGAAAATCCAGTTTTTATTGGCGTAATATTACTAAAGTAATTAAAACGGTGTTGAAAGTAATTTTTATGCAGAAAAACCTTACTTCTAGGATGGGAAGATGTGCTTTTGTGTTTAGAAATGTTTCATCCTTCTAATTCTAAAATCTAAATTTCAGATTTCTTTTCTACGAAAGTGATGATACTAAAGCTGTTTACAGCATTGCCGGAATTCCTGATGATCCTGAAAAAGGAAAGTATTGGGTGCTATACGTTAGCAACGCAAGTGTGATAACTAAGAATAAGAAACATCTTCAAAAAATTACCAAAGGTAAAAAATATCATTGCTTCAGACTTTGTATATAGTGTTACCTCGGTTTTGAGTTCATTTTAAATCATCTGCTGTTTTATTTCCCATATACGTGAAAATTTTTTTTAAGTTTTATTCTAGTAAGTTTATGTAGTATTTAATCTTGTAGTCCATATTAAGAATATTAGCCTGGATTTTGATCATGAACTAATTTAAATGCTTGATTTATTTTAGATTTTCCATTTCTTATAGCATGTAATGCAAAAAATAAAATTCCATGCTTTCCTATCGTAATTCTGCAAATGCCATAGGAAATTTTTTGCTCCGAACAGCTTGTGCTAAAAAGTACTATAGGTCTACTTTTCGCTATGACCTTTCTAAGTCCACATGCAATATTGCAAAAATCACTTGCATTTAGCAATTAGTGTAACAGTTAACTTTGCTATTTTTGTTGACCTTTATCTTTTAGCCAAGAAGTTATTGTATGGTTTTCCACTTCAATCTTTGTACAAATGTCTTGCATTTAACTTCGATGCAATATGAACTTGCATATTGATCAGCTGAGACATTAGATCGACTACTGCTGGTTCAAAAACTTTTGATAATCAACTTTTTTCCTGCCACTTTAAAGTAAATCGTTAAGTTTCTAATTAGCAAATGAAATGTCTTAAAATTAAGCGATACATAAATGTCCGCATACAGAATAAATTAATGGAATTAGTCTTAAGTCTGGTGTCTTGCCTTTAGCAATATGCATACGGGCTCGGGTACTTTGACTAAGGAGACCTTGCACCGGGTAGAAACTCTCTTGTAGGATTTTCTACCTAGTTTCAAAAGTATTTAAATTCTTATTCATTTGCGTTAAATATCAGTTGCTCAGTGTTTAAGAGTAATCTGCTAGTATTCAGCACTTGAACTCCAATTACATTTGACAAACTTTTGTTTAAGGTCACTAGGCTCTATAATATTTGAGCATTGAAGTATTTCATAATTTTAAATTCTAAAAATCCTGCTTTCCACTAATAACTTAAAATCGGTAAAATATTCGACCTTTCGCTATCCTAAATTTTACTTGCGTGTTGTATTTATATACGACTTAAAATAAGTTTCGAACTCGATGACCACTTCCAGAAATTAGTCTGGAATACAAAATTCTTTAATTTTTAAATTTCAGTAGATGCACTTCATATCTGCAGACGCAACTATAGTTTCATAGTGCAAATGTTGCTGTTAATTTTCAAGTCTTATTTACAAAAGCTATAATAATTTTTTCAGCTGATAAGCTATGTAAAGGAGCATTCAAAATCCTGCCTGCTCAAGGTGCAAGCCTATTTATCCTATTGTACATATTTCCTTTCTCTACTAGTTGAAAAATTTCAATGTAGTAATTAATGCATGTTTTGACTAGTAGGTTTAATTTTAATTAGAATTTTAACAGCATCTAAATATTTAAGAAAAAATTGCTTACTGCTGATTTTTGAAACTGAATTTAATAAATTGGCCTTGCTTTGCCTTGTAAGTGAAAAGTGTAAATTTTTGAGCTAATATTTGAAATGTGACAGCTGCCGTTAGAGTATCCTAAAAATTTGCTCTACTAATGCCTTTGAAGCTTCAGTCATTCAGCCAAGAATTTTCTAGTAATTTATAGGTTTCGAGAACAAATTTATGTATAACGTTTTGCTGCTTTCCAGAAATTGTCAAACACTTAATGATTTAAGATGTTTTCCTAAACTTGCAAAAATTTTCGCACTAAAATAATATAAGTGTTTTTTTGTTTCAGGAATAGATAAGACATTTCCTTCCAACAATAATCATTTTGTGTTCTGGTGGAAGTCAGCACAACCATGAAAATTAATTTTTAAAGAAATGGACTCAAGAACGTTCCCTTACTGTTGATTTTTTATTTGCGCAGAATAAATTGTTGATTCTATTTTTATTTTAAAAATTAGGACAGGCTTCCTATGTATATAAATAAAATTCAATGTTGAAATTGTTTGATTGTATTTCATTAGCTCAAATCAACAGTTAAAACACCTACGTCAAATTTTGTGAAATTGTTTCACTGAAGTTGCGCAATTACTTTCATCCAAAGCTTTCAGACATCGAAAAATTCAATAAGGGTTTCCCCAACTACTTTATGTTGCATTTTAGTACTTGCATTATCTGGTGGATAGTTTTCAAATTGAAGTTAAGAATATTTAACAAGAGGAAAGGAAGGCTTTATAAACATAATTAAAAAATTATGTTTTTGGTAAACTGACTTGCACCCTAAGTATATTTTCTAGTCTTTCCGTCTGGTAGATTCAATAAACTTCTAAGTTCATATAATTTTTACACAAGTTCATAACTAGTAATTCAATGAGGAACTTCTCGCATTTTTCAGCTCTTTTGTTTTTGTTAAAAGCCAGCGTTCCAAAGCTTTAGATTATGAAGTGATTGCCATAATATACACAATTCTGATAGAGACAGACTTCAGTTATGAATATTCTGTGAATTTCTAGTCGAGACATATTCCATTTCAAATTTAGTACTCTTAATTCTGATTCATATGACACTTGTCAAGGGTGAGCGGTACAATAGTATCAAAAGGAAGAGCGAAATTCCAAATACTTTTTACAACTTCTGCACGATTATTTTTCCTAATGCCTGGATACTTGCCGAAAGAAATTGCAAAAATACTAAGCACGAAACTGAAAATCTGGATTAATATCGTGAGGTGTCTTCTGTAAAGCAAAGTATTTATAATGTTGGAGCTTCTCGAATTTCAAAGAAAAACTAAGCGATGTATAGAAAAGTGCATAATCCCCTGCACCGATCTCGAGCCTTTGTAAAAGTTACCTCAGAGAACCTATTGCACATTCCAAAAGGAGGATGACTACACCTATCAGATCCTTACCCGGAATTTGAACATGCACGCAGAAATTCTGAGACTATAGACTCGGGTCTGTAAGTACTTTCCTCGAGAACAATTTCAACAAATGACGTGGAATACTCGGCAACATCTTAGATGCAGACTACCACTTGGAAGACTCGTAGTTATGTGCTAATTATACAGCAATTAGCCCTTTAGATGAATTAAAAAAATTAGAATTAAAAAATCTTAAGAATTTTAAAGAAAGCACCTGGCCCGAATTGTATAAATTACGCAATTGTCGAAATTAAGTTCCTAGAATTCTTAATATTCTTAAAGTCTCTGCATGCCGGCCTCTTTCCGACTGATTTCAAAATATTCTTTCTCAAACCAAACAATGACTCTTATAGCTCTGATTCCTACTGACCAATCCCTGCTTTGAGGAATATTAAAAAGTGAAAAATTTCTAATGAGCGGCCACATATTTGCGAAAAACTTCGTCATTCAAAGGACGGTTTTTACTGTAGTTCACGATTTTCACGCTTTCTTCGAGAACTTTCTGTAGATCAGCGGCCATCTCGAGTATTGCCAAAGCCTCTGTATGCAAAAATGTGTGGATATGACATTTGGCAACATTTTGAATTCCTGCAACAAGTCCTTTATTAATTCCTAGCATATTTTTTGCTCGATCTGTGCTTATTCCAACGCATCTATTCCAATCGGTTTTCTTTCATAAATTTATTCATAACGTTAAAGGTCTCTTCTGTAGCAACCTAATAAAGGCTGGAAAAATAAAGTCGTCATGAATTTCTTGATTTTTTTTTCGTATCTAGCAAACTCCATAAGGATTTGCAAAATTCGCAGTATTTGTAGACTCGTCGACTTTCAATACATAACAACCTTGAGAAATATCGGGTAATAACATCTGTTTCACATTATTAGACATATCAATAATTCGTCGATGAACTGCATTTGAGAAAAAACCTGAAGTACTATTGTTTCTGTTTTGCGATTTTGCGTCAATTCTCTACAAACTGAATCACTTTTCAAACTTTCGCTCAATCTCCTATCAGTACTTCTGCAGTTATCTTGGCTGCAGATTTGATTAAAATTCGCCAATGGTTTCCTCTGCACTATATTTCGCATCAAAAGCGACAGGCGATACGAAGTTTCTAGTTAATTTTTTGATTTTCACGTGTCAAAACCCGCATTTCTTTTAGAGGCTGATTTAAATCCCTAAGTTTATTTTCAAAAAAATCTCCCGGTTTATCTTTGTACTGATTATGTTTTCTCTCAAAATGGCGCTTTAAGTTGGATGCTTTCATGCTTTAGTTTGTTCGATTTTCAAAACAAATGACGCAAAGTAGAATAGGCTTATTTTAAGCTCTAGTTAATGAGAATCCAAACTTAAGATATTCTTTGTCTTACTTGGCTAGTTTTCCTTGCCCTTTTCCTTAACAGGTTCTTTCAGAATTGGAGTTGATTCGTTAATTTTACTATTTTATGCTGGTTAATTGCTACTGTAATAATTACTTTCTTTCGATATAGGATTTTCAGATTTCAACCAGCGATCCATAACCTATGTTAAGGATAAGAATCATATTGTACAAAAATAATCAATCATTGAGACATGCTAAAACTCATGAGAACGGAGGGTTATGGGTAGCTAATCACGGTGCAGTTCATATACCCACCTAACTCTTCCCGTACCCGACTTTGGCAAATGCTGATGTAAGTAACGAAACTCCTATATGTTCACTCAGCACTTAAAGGGCAAGATGTAAATGTACATTTGCACCGTCTTAACATCGCCAGTAACAGCATTACAACTGTATACACGGATGTCTTACCCATGGAAGACGAAGCTAGCAGTATACTAGTTCATCAGCACGGAGAAGAAACTTATAGAAGCAGCGACTGAGCGATAACAATGTTTCGGGAAGAAGCTATTTCCAGGGCTATCCATTGCATCTCTCAAAACTCGACATGACATAAACATCCACCGGTAGCATGTCTGTATTTCTGTCCATATTCAACAATCACTACACATCCACAATAATTACGCAAATCCAGATATGCTTATGGAGACATCATCATAAGACCACTCTCTTCTGGACAAAAGCGAACGCTGGGGTGAGTGAAAACGCAGATGAGTTGCTGACAGATTAGCCAAGAAGACATCAGGAAGTATTCATCCACAACCAGCACCTTGGCCACGCTTACACTTGAAGCAACCGAAACTCAAATCAAATAGCAAAAAGAGTTGGGTCAATATGAAAAGAGCCGCCACACATAAATTGCTCAAGTAAACGTCCCACAATTAAGATTTATTGCAGGATATGGACCCTTTCCGGAGTATTTTAATATACACGGCGTCAGTGACACCAATCTTCGTGTTTCTGGAGAAACTGATACTCCAAGACACTACTACATGCTCACTTACCAGATTTCATCACCTTAAAATTCCCAGTAATACACAAGCCTACTGTAAGTTTATGGTAAAACAAAATCATCTAGTGGCAAGGATCCTTCAGGTTATCGGAAAGTTTGCGAAATTCGGCGTCAACATTTCCTTCGTTATATAATGTAGTTTTTAAATAGGAACAGTGCTTAGAGTCGGAATTCAATATTCACTCAGTTTATTTCTAGAAATTTGACCTTCTATGTTACACCTACTGGTATAACTGGATTTATGCAATGTACACTTGTAAAGTATATATTCCGTTGTAAAGTAATTTTTGTATCTGGAATTATGTCTTGAGTTGCATCGGTAACATCTTGCATCATAAAATTCTAGATATACGGGAACGCGAGACAATCGCACTTAACCTTTGGAAAGAATGAGTGTCTTCTTATACATCAGCTATAGTATTTCTAAAAAGGGAAATTTAGGTGAATTTAAGAAATTTTTACCTATTAAAGCTCTTATTTTCTCCTTTTCGAGCTCTGTTTATAGTGAAGGAACTGAATATTTGAATTTGCTACACAGTCTTCGGCCGTCTATGATATATGCTACAAGTAGTTTTTTTTTGTATTCCATGGCGAGCTATGAAATGTTAATTGCTTTATGCCAGATTTTCGAGGCTTTTGAATTTTTTAACGGATAATTTCGTGAAATATCTTTACTTTACCAAAATTCTATTATTAAGATCGAGAATTTGACTTTTGGATATTTCGCAAGCACTCGCACAAAAATTGTTTTGACAAAACTTGAAATCACAAAGCAAGCTCGTACACCTTTCGTAGTTTTGTCTCTTTTTGTCTTAAAAATCCTCTGTGCTTGAACTAAGAAAAATTAACAGCAGCTCGGCTGAGGGCTAATTAGAATTCATCCTGAAGTTCTAAATAATGCGATATCCAACAAGCTTAATTTTCAGCCTTTAATATTTTACGTTTTCCTTAATGTTTCACATTTTTATGCTTATCTCCATGTGTAACATGAGTACGAGCCAGTTACACTTGGAATGACCATCACGAAGGTCTATCGCCTCTTAGGCAAACAGCTCTCTTGAACTTAGCCGTAAAAAAACTAACCTAATCTCGATGTTTAAACTTGACATTTCATGCATTACCTTTATACCATAACTTTGTGATTAGGCTTTAAGGTTTAACAGGATTGGCCGTAATAAAATAAGCTAATCCTTGATCTTTAAAATAAATACTTCATGTATTAACTTTATACCATAACTTCATGACTAGGCTTTAAAGTTGTAAGAGGACGTGCCTTTATAAAACAGATCAAACCTCAATGTTTAAAATGGATATTTCATGCATTACCTTATTACCATAACTTTATGATTAGGCTTTAAAGTTGTAGTAGGATTATTCAACTTATCAGTGTAAAAGGTCATTTAAAAACTTTGCCCTAAAATCGCGAGTGGATTACTTGCCATATCCTGCAATACGATTCGAAACCTGAGATATTATTATATATTTAATATACTATAGTAAGTTATTACCATATTTTACACAGAAGTGTTTGAACTCTTCAAAATGTGATGGACATAAGTGAAGGCACACTTTCATTTTCTCAAAGAATGGGGGGGAAATCGTAAAATCCATAATTTTTATAAAAATATATTTGTATAATCTTTAGAATATTATAAAAGTAACTACAAAATGTTAAATCAAAATTCAAATTAA